AGTTTTGTTAAAGTGACAAGTCGCCCGCAGTGAACATCAAAACCTAGTTCTAATTAAAATCTCTTCAAATTCAAATATTTTAGGAAAAATTATAATTGCCAACGTATGACAGCCTTAAATGATATTTATTAATAAATTAGAATAAAACTAAATATATTATTACAAAGTTAGAAATTAATGATAACCCCTTGATAATTAAGGAGTTGACAAAGTAATATTTCCCTTACGATCTATCGATGAAACATTCGTTATTGGAGCATTAACATCACTGACCCAGAAATTTTATCTGATACTAACAAATTCGTTATCATCCTAAAATGGTAAACGGATTTACTTTTTAGCGAAAACGAAAGTAAACTAACGAGGTCACAGAACTCAAAACCTTTTTATACAGGTAATCTAAACGTTACCGATTGGACATGGATTTTTTATAATATAGATGATTTGGGAGAATTCTAAATTGCTACAAAAAAAAAAAAAAAGAGGTAATAAATACAAACAAATAACTTTGTAGCTAAATTCAAAATGTGGCACCCAAATTTTTGACAGAATAACAAAATAGGTTTGGATATTTAGAATCGATTTAATCGTTTCTCCAAGATTCGACTCTAAGACTCGATTTTCAATTTTTAGATTATCTTATATTCGAAAATCTCACCTATAGTATCGACGGGGAAAAAGGGTAAAATGATTGAAATATAATTTTAAATTTTTTTTTTTTTTATTATCAAGTAGCGCAGTCATTTGCATGCGTATAAACCTTTTTATCAAATTTAAAAAAAAACTGTTATCAACCGGGAAAATGTTCCTATAATATCACCTACAATGAGTCAAAAAAAAAATCTTTATTTCTTAATCCATTAGAAAAAAAAAGAAATTTTATTTCCAAAATGCACATTCTTCAGCATAACATACCTCAAAAACTATGATTTCATCTAGCATGGCATTTTTTAAAAATACTTTGCCATTTTTATTTAGTGGCGCAGAATTATCGCGGACTTTAATTTTTTTTTTTCAAAATTTTAATTTATAGATAATTAAAATAATTCAATTCTTTAATTTTGCGATATTCTTATGAGAGAACATTTCAAATTTTTATATAAAGTCCAAATGTTCCTTTTAAATGTTTATGAAATATATTTTATTCAACTGGGATTATATTATTACTCAACTGATAAACAAGAACCAGGAAATCAGTATTATCTAAATTTTGTTTATTATAATGATGATGTTGTCATTTTGAATTCGATGTTAATATGTCAAATTAATTATGTTATACCGTTCCGGTAATATACAGTAACATGGATAATTATGATTATCAAAAAAAAAAAAAGTAAATAATATTTCTTTATTATAAAAAGTAATATAAATAGAGAACTATAAATATTAAAAAAATTTTCTTTTAATTAAATATTACAATTATTATATCAGAAATTAAAACAAAACATTCAAATTAATAAAAGCTTGAAAATAATATAACATTCTTCAATAAAATCTCAACATTCATGGATATATACAACACTAAATATTATATGCATGTTTGAGTAATTTACAACCTTTTTATCGACATTGGAATTGTTTAATATCACAATTACGATTATGGGTTATGTTCCAACCAGTACTTTCATCATTTGAACATATATCAAAGATATCTCGAAGAAACTTAAGTTCATTTATTTGGCTATCTGCAGCAGCCAATACACAGCTATTAGTATGATTTCCGACTATTGGACAATAAATATGACCAGAATCACCACAAGGTTGTCCGCAAAATGAAGGTTTTGGGTCACATATTTCAACTTTAAACATTTGTAAGGCATTGCTAATTATTGACGCCGCCATATTGTTATATGTACTTTGTTTAACATAATGATATATTTCATCATCATCGGCAATCATTTGATCATTATTTACCCTTTGATTAACAGTAAAACCAGCTAATATTGACTTGTTTGCAGTAAAAAAATTATTGTGTAATGTATCATCAAAATGAATTTGGAGTTTTTCACTTGCGGCTGATAGATATGATGAAATATCTGGATAGACTTGACCATTACCAGTAAATGATTGATGAACATTGTCCATTAAACGTGGAAGAAAGTATATATTCACCATATTCGTCGTAAAAAATCCTATATTATCCACCGTATCCCTCTTTCCGGGTGGTCTAGGCCTCTTTCTGGGGTAGGCCCTATTCAAAGCAGCAAGGATTCGACCCATATTTGTGTCTTTATATTCTTCATAATGTTCTGCAACATCCCTTAATACAAAACGTGGACAAAAGGTGGCAATGCACTTCTTGTAAACATTTTTTAATCTAGCGTATTCTGTATAAAGTAGCACCTTTTTTTGCGAGACCCTTTCGAGGAGCGGTTCATTTATAAATTCTTCTGCCTCTTCAATTTCTTCCGATCCTTCAGCCGCTGATGCTATAACATCATCTGCAGCACCAACTTCGGCAGCAGCTTCGGAGATTTCAGTGACGGCTGCTTCCGTGATCTCACCTGCCGCTGCTGCGCCGGTAAGAACTAAACCTCCAACTAAACCTGTCACAGCTAAAACAGCAATGGTAGCGACTAAAGGAACTAAAATCTCTTTGAGCAAGTTTTTTTTATGCGGAGGCGGCGGTGGTGGTGCCAATTCTTTTAGATTTTGGGTATTCATTTTGATACTTAGCTCATTAAGGGCATGATGGAACCCTCGATGGTGGCTCTCCCAATGATTGAATAGTTTGTTTGCCGAATTAATCATGTGATATGTAGCAACACCATAACCTTCAGGATTAAACGAGCTACCTGAACCGTACTGAAGAGATGCGGCGTATGTTCCAACTTCATTACCAGTCAAATGATCGATGCATTCAGCTACATATTCTGTTTGATTAATTGACCATCCGGGTGCATCTGGGTGTTTACCTTTACTGCAATAGTAAGTAGTTAGATGAGTTGGAAATACATAGTCTGGGTCAGGAGCTTCTTGCTTATATGTAATTTTAGGAATCGGAATCAGATTCATCGTGTAATTACTTAACAAACATTTGTAATTATTCTGGACTTGTTTGGTATATGATGAAACCGAAAGATTATTCCTGTTTATATCCAACATATAGCTGAAGGTACAATCATAGGTGCAACCCCACATAGTAATGTTAACAGTTGTTAAGGGTGGCTCATGTTTTACAGTTTGAACATCTCTGGCCAATAGGGATGTCGAATAAACAACTCCATCATCGTTAATATGAACCGCTGCATATTCAGAAGGTATGACTTGGCCGCACATATTAAAATCATGTTCTACGGTGATCCAATCAGCAAAAACTGCCAATGAAAAATTTAATAGAATGTATAGTAATGTTTTCTTCATGAGTGAAATGTCTTTTTTTTTTCCCTTGTCGGAAAAATCAGGTAGACCTTATATACCTTGGAAATAATCAAAGAGATCACAAGCCTTAAACAGTTTCGATATTGAATTTTTTTTTTAATTACTGTAACACTTAATTTCGGAACAGTCGATCTATTACTTCATATTAGAGATCACGAAATATATGATCTATAACGAATATATAATATAAATGGATTTTACAGCATAAATTTATTTAATTTTTAAGAATGAATTTCGAATTACTGTACTTATTAAATTTGAGAAAAATATTTAAAGAGTCACAATAAGGATAAACGTTCCCTTTGTAGGTTAAAATAGAGCAACTAAAATTGATTTTCGTCTGAAATTGGAATCCATTTACGAATTTCGGACAGTTATAAAATTTTTAGCTTTTTTTTAAATTTTCGATTTTTCTTTTTGTTTATTGAATTTCGAATTTCTGTACTTATTAAATTTGAGAAAAATATTTAAAGAGTCACAATAAGGATAAACGTTCCCTTTGTAGGTTTAAACAGAGCAACTAAAATTGATTTTCGTCTGAAATTGGAATCCATTTACAGTTATAAAATTTTTAGCTTTTTTCTAAATTTTCGATTTTTCTTTTTGTTTATTAAAGATGTTCTAGGTTTGTATTTTTTTCCTTAAAATATTTCGTTTTTTTTATTTTTTCTGTTCTTTTTATTTTTTACTTTTTATCGTTTTATTTTTTCTATTTTTTAGGATTTTTTGATCAATCACATTCGGGCTTTAGATTTTCATTTTCATTTATAATTTTTTATTGTTGAATCGATTGAATATTAAATTTTTTATTTTATTTTTTTTTTTTTTTTTTTTTTTTCTTTTAACTTTTTTTACTTTTTCGTTTCGATTTTTATTATCATTCAAGGTTTCTCGATTGTGTCGGGATCTGCGTCATTTAAATGAGTTTTTTTTATTATTCATTGTCATTTTTAAACATTTGACCGAAGTGATCTAACCCGAAAAAAAAATCATTCTACACCTTTTCTTTTAAATTCTTTTTTTTACAAAAAGTATAGGAACACTCGCCTTTACGAGTTACCTGTAAATGTAATTATTCCATTTTGAACCTGAGAGAAAAACCTTAAATTATAAGAAATAAATAAATAAAAATTAGTGATTACCGGTAATCATTCTTTTTTTTTCATTTCTTAATTTAATTATTAAAATTTTTATATATTTATTACTTTTTATTTGCTATAATGATTTATAAAATCATAATTATTCAATAAAATCATTTTTATTGCCCACAAAAAATAATCATTACAAATTTGAATTTTTGGATTTTCTCTCGACAAAAATAAAGAAAAATAAAATAATACATTTTTTTGCAAAAAAAAAAAAATCGAAAAAATAATTCTTTATATTAGAGTTTATTTCCTATTTATTTCGTTTCGGCTTATAATAAGTTGAAACTCTATTAAATATGAGTAATCGAAAAAAATAACCTTATACAATTAGAACCCGATATAACAAACTCTCGACATAAAGATCGAAAAAATAAATTTTAAAATCTTCATGTTCTATATAATTAAATATTGAAAAAATATATATAAAAGTCATTATATAAATATATAATATTATTTGTTTTTTTTTTTCCCTCAAATTTTATAATAAACTGAGGAGGTCGTTATATCAAGTTCTGGCTATACAATGTAATATATTGAAATGTAATTTATTTATTTATTTTTAAAAAATAAAAGATCTTTAAGCGACTGATATTTTACGTATTGTAAAGCAGTGGATTGAGAGGTTGAAGTCCCCCGGCTATTCACATCTTGAGTTGTTTGATGAGTTCTAAAGATTGTAGATACTATTAGATAAATTATTTTGAAGTCCACTCGTTCCTTCTTGTGAAAAAATTCTTAATTAGATCTTTTGTTGCTTAAATAATGTGAGAAGAGATTTTTGCATGTTTTTATTAATCATCTTGGAGCCGAAAATTGCTTTGACTCCACATTATTCTGCGATATTATCTTTTCAGAATTTTATTTTAAATTGATGAGAAAGAAGTTTTGTATTGTCAATATAT